CCCAGCACTAAGGCCAACTCAGCTTCCTCCTGCAGCCCCAGCTCCCACCTTGACAGCAGCCTCTGGTCTTGGGTAAAACTGGCCTGAATCCTCTCCCTGGGCCGGAGCTGAACCTCAGGCTGCCAAATGCACCTGCCTGCCTCTGGTTCACGGCTGCCTAGGGTTTTTTTTTTTAAACTACTCAGTGTGCAAGTCTCACCACAGCAGGTGTGACTATGGCTGGAGCTGAGTTAGCTAAATGGGGCCTCTTCGACGACATTGGACTCTAAACTGAAAGGTAACTATATCATTTCCAGTTGGTCAAGGCTAATTCATCTAAAATGTCATCATAAAATTGACATCATGAATTATTGACAACAGAAAAACAGACAGCAGTATGGTTTCCCAACTTAATGTGAGTCATGCCCAGATGTCTATAAACCCCCTTTTTTTATTTTAAAAAATTGATTATTTAAAAAAATTATGTGACACACACAATTTTTGATTTAAGAAAACTTTGGCCCAGTGTTGCTCAGTGATTGAGCGGTGAACCATGAACCAAGAGATCACTGGTTCGATTCCCAGTCAGGGTACATGTCCGGGTTGTGGGCTCGTTCCCTGGGGTGTGTGGGGGGGGGAGGGAGCGTGCAGGAGGCAGCCAATCAATGTTTCTCTCTATATATCCTTCTCCCTTCCTGTCTTTCTAAAATCAATTAAAAAAAAAATACTTAAAAAAAATTCCCTAGCTGGTTTGGCTCAGTGGATAGAGCCTTGGCCTGCGGACTGAAAGGTCCCGAGTTCAATTCCAGTCAAGGGCACATACCTCTTTGCAGGCTCAGTCCCCGGCCTGGTGTGGTGCGTGTGGGAGGCAATCACTCAAGTCTCTCTCTCTCCCCTTCCTTCCACTCTCTCTAAAAGTCAATGAAAAAATATCCTCGGGTGAGTATTAACAACAAAAAGAAAAAAAAAAGAAAGAAAGAAAGGAAACTGTGATAGTCTCTCCTCTCAGTCTTGCAGATGAGGAACCTGAGGCCCAGAGAGGGTGATCAAAGTTCCCAAGGGCACACAGTGATGCCAGGACTGACTCTCCAGTTCTCCGAAGTAGTTTCCAGGGTTTTTCTACATCCCAGGGCCTCTCACATCTATTCCTGTAGCTGCCAGTCTCGTCAGGTGACAAACCCTCTGGGGTCTTGCCTGTTTCTAACTCCCCAAAATGCAGAGCCTGATGGTTCCCTCCCGTCACCACTATTCATCCTTTCTGTCCTGCCTTGAGCTCCCAACCCCCACCACCAGGCAGGTTGGAAGCTGTGGCGCCAAAGGGAGGTCAGGAAAGGCAGCCCTCAGAGGCCTTATTGCCCAACCAGGAGGGGCTGTGGATCAATTGGCTTTTGCTGCTCTTCCCTGGGTTAACCATTTCCTGGCTTTGTCCCTCTGCTGATTGCTCTGCTAACTTGGTCTAGAGCAGTGGTTCTCAACCTTCCTAATGCCGCGACCCTTTAATACAGTTCCTCATGTTGTGGTGACCCCCAACCATAAAATTATTTTCATTGCTACTTCATAACTGTAATTTTGCTATTGTTATGAACCGTAATGTAAATATCTGATATGCAGGATGTATTTTCATTGTTACTAATTGAACATAATTAAAACATAGTGATTAATCACAAAAACAATATGTAATTATATATGTGTTTTCCGATGGTCTTAGGCGACCCCTGTGAAAGGGTCCTTCGACCCCCAAAGGGGTCGAGACCCACAGGTTGAGAACCGCTGCCCTTTCAACTGCAATCTTATGTAGAATTGCCTAGAGGAAGGGTAGACCAAGGTTTGGGATGGGCATCCTTTCTATCCCCATCTTGGATCCCTCTCCCTGGGTCCAACCCCTGCACGGGCCCTGTTGGTGCTCATTTGGGCAGAGGAGTCCCCAAGACTGGAAAAGGGGCTTGTGGATTTCCCTCTTGTAAGCCTGGTGCTCAGCTGTACCGCCCCCTCCCTGAGAGTCCAGGAGAATGGCACTGTCACTTGTCAGGTGCCTGGGCATAGAATTAGCAGTGGGGGGTGAGGGGCTGCCGAGGTAAAGGGAATGGCACTGAAGGTTTCTAGGAACACATGGGTGTGGTGGGCTACAGGAAATCTGGACCTAATAGCTCAGCTCCTTATGGGCCAGCTCTCAGCCTCGCTGCAGCTTTGTATGAGTCCTGAGGATCAACGGGATTTTCAAAAGTTGAAAAGCTGCCCTTTCAACTGCAATCTTATGTAGAATTGCCATTTATGAAACTGATAAAAGCATGGTTGCTCTGGCTGGGATGGAACCCCCCATTTGGATGTCCCCAACTTGTGGTGGCTCCTCAAAGCTACCAGGTCTTCCTGTGTATAAATATGGCTTGTTATAGACACCTTAGTGGAAATCTTTGTTGTGGGATTTTGCATAAATGGGATCACACTATAAAAATTTTTCTGTCTCACCTCTTTTGTTTAATATATTTGTAGGTGCTCTTCCCACCATTGGACTCTATGGATCTACCACCATTCCTTTTTTAAAATTTTAAGCCAGTAATAAACTCTAACAGTATCATATTATCAAGTAGCACTTTAAAAAATATATATATATTTTTAAAATATATTTTATTGATTTTTTACAGAGAAGAAGGGAGAGAGATAGAGAGTTAGAAACAGCGATGAGAGAGAAACATCGACCAGCTGCCTCCTGCACATCTCCTACTGGGGATGTGCCCACAACCCAGGTACATGCCCTTGACCGGAATCGAACCTGGGACCTTTTAGTCCACAGGCCCACGCTCTATCCACTGAGCCAAACCGGTTTCGGCTAAAAATATTTCTTACGATTGTGGTAAAATGCCCATAACATTTATCATCTTATCCATTTTTAAGTGTGCAGTTCAGATGCACCAAGTACATTCCCATTGTTTGTGCCTCCATTACCACCACCCGTCTCCAGAACTTTCATCTTGTAAAACTGAAACTTTATACCTATTAAACACTAACTACTCATTCTCCATTCCTCCCAGCTTCTGGCAACACCATTTTAATCTTTGTCTATGAATTGGCCTATGCTAGGTACTACTGGATAGAATCATATAGTATTTGTCCTTCTGTGATGGACTTATTTCACTTGGCATAATGTCCTCAATGTTGTAGCATGTGTAAGGGTTTTCTTCCAGGCTGAACAATATTCCACTGTATGTAAATATTACATTTTGTTTACCCATTCATTTGTCTATGGATACTTGGGTTGCCTCCACCTTTTGGCTACTATGAATAATGCTGTTATGGACATGGGTGTACAAATATCTGTTCCAGTCCTTGCTTTCAATTCTTTTAAATTTTCTCAATTCTATATACCTAGAAGTGGAATTGATGAACCATATGGTAACTATTTTTTTGAGAAACACTGTTTTTTTAATACTTGCATAATATTCCTTGATATAAATAATATTCCTCGAATATGATCTACTGGTAAACATTTGGGTAATCTCAATTATTTTCCTATTGTAAACAACGCTGCAATGAACATATTAAAGGTATGTACATCTTTGTGCAAATAAGCATGTATTTCTGTGGGAAGATTATTAGAAAGGTAATGCTGGGTCAAAGATAGGCACATTTGGAAGTTTAATAATCATTGTCAAATTACCTTCTAAGATGTTTTCACCAACATACAGTCTTATCAACAATGTATTTGAGTGTATCTACCTGCATACTGATCAGCACTCAATGCTATCAATATTTTTAAAAAAATATATTGATTTTTAGAGAGACAGGAAGGGAGAGGTAGAGGAAAAGAAACATCAGTGTGAGAAAGAAACATCAAGTGGTTGCCTCCTGCATGTGCCCCAACTGAGAATTGAACCGGTGACCTTTCAGTGCATGGGAGGATGCTCAACCAACTGAGCCACACTGACCAAGGCTCAATGTTATCAATCTTTTATTTATTTATTTATTTGTTTGTTTTTAGTTTGTTGTTTTTTTTTAAATCTTTATTGTTGAGAGTATTACAGATGTCCCCCTTCTCTCCCCCAACCCTTGTTATCCCCCTCCACCCAGTTCCTGCACCATCACAGGTCTTCACCACCCTATTGTCTGTGTCCATAGGTAATGCACATATGCATATAAGATCTTTGGTTAATCTCTTCCCACAGCCCCCCTCACCCCTTCCCTTTGAGATTCATTAGTCTGTTCCATGTTCCCATGCCTCTGATTATATTTTATTCATCAGTTTATTTTGTTCATTAGATTTCTTGTTCATTTATTTTTATTTTTATTTATTTTTAAAATATATTTTATTGATTTTTTACAGAGAGGAAGGGAGAGAGATAGAGAGATAGAAACATCAATGAGAGAGAAACATCGATCAGCTGCCTCCTGCACATCTCCCACTGGGAATGTGTCCGCAACCAAGGTACATGCCCCTGACCAGAATCGAACCTGGGACCTTTCAGTCCGCAGGCCGATGCTCTATCCACTGAGCCAAACCGGTTTCAGCTATTTTGATTTTTAAATTCAGTTGTTGATAGATATCTATTTATTGCCATTTTATTATTCATATCTCCTTCCTCCTCCTACTCCTCCTCCTCTTCTTAAAGAATACCCTTCAACATTCCATGTAATGCTAGTTTGGTGGTGATGAACTCCTTTTGCTTTTTTTTTTTGGTCTGTGAAGCTCTTTATCTGACCCTCAATTCTAAATGAGAGCTTTGCTGGGTAGAGTAATCTTGGTTGTAGGTCCTAGGTCCTTGCTTTTCATCACTTTGAGTATTTCTTGCCATTCCCTTTTGGCCTGCAAAGTGTCGAGAAATCAGCTGACAGCTGTATGGGTGCTCCCTTGTAGGTAACTAACTACTTTTTTCTTGCTGCTTTTACGATTCTCTCTGTCTTTAACCTTGGCATTTTAATTATGATGTGTCCTTGATGTGGGCCTCTTTGGGTTCCTTATGTAAATCTATTTTTTTCAAGGGGAAGTTTTCTGTCATTATTTCTTCAAACGGGTTTTCAATATCTTTCTCTTTCTCTTTTCCTTCTGGCACCCCCATAATGCGAATGTTGGTACACTTAAAATTGTCCCAGAGACTCCTTACATTATCTTCATATTTTTGGATTCTTTTTTCTTTTTGCTCTTCTGATTTTTTTTTGCTTCCTCATATTCCAAATAATTGATTTGATTCTCAGAATCCTCTACTCTACTGTTGAATCCATGTAAATTATTCTTTATTTCAGTTAGTGTATGTCTAATTTCTGACTGATCCTTTTTCATGTCTGACATTCTCACTAAGATCCTTTCAATCTTTTAAATTATTGTCAATATGGCAACTTAATTTGCTCAGCATTTTATTACTATTGAAGTAGAGAATACTTTCCAATACTTACTGGCTGCTTATATTTCTTCTGTGGCTTGTCCTTTTCAATTATTTGCCAATAAGGACTTCAGCCTTCACTTTACTTGACCTTCCTATTGCCTTTGCCATTGTTGCCAGCTATAGAATTTCAGGTTTTAAGTTATTTTCTGTTGGAATTCTGCAGACAATGTTCCGCTGACTCTTAGAATCCATGGTTGCCATGCTGATTCCTGATACTTAGTGTGTGACCTGCTTTTTTCTGTCTGAAAGTGTTCAGGATTTTCCCTTCACCCCAATATTCTGAAATTTTATGACAAACCTTTCATGGGTCTCTTTGCATTCATCATACCAGACTCTTTTAAATCAAGAGACTCATGTTTCTGTTCTGGGAAATCTTATGTAGTTTTTCTGAAGTAATTTCTTTTTATCTTTTTTTGAACTATTTTGGTTGGACGCTAGACATCCGAGACTGACCTTCCAAGTCTCTTTTCTTTCTCTCTTGCTTTCCTTTTCTTTCACTCTCATTTTATTTTCTCAATTTCAATTTCAACTCTTCTATTTGGATTTTAAATTTCATCCATCATAGTTTGTATTTCCAGTTCTCTGATTGTTCACTTTTCATGGCATCCTTGGAAGGATGCCCAGCAAGGAGGATCAGGAATATTTAAAGTAGCCTGGGCCCCTTACTCTTCCCTCCCCTTATCCCCTGAGAGTTGACTCTGAGGTCCCACATGGCTTCAACAGTCTGGATTCTGGTGCTAACGATGGGGGCTGCCTACAGCCAGGACTACATTCCCACCTCTGCCTGGTAAGCTGGGCTCAGGGGGTGCTTGGGATTGGCTCTGAGGAATGGTGAGGGTCAAAGTCGGAGGGGCAAGGGGACTAGTGATGAAGGGCACAGCCCTGGGGAGGAAAATGGGAACCCCATGGGATTGAAAGAGGATGAACAGAAACAAGGGGGGCCCCACAGCCTGAGAGCCGGGAACTGAGAGGTGCGAGAGCTCAGTGGGAGCAGGACGGAGCTGAAACATGAGGAAAGAGGGAGGAGGTATAGGGCTGGGGTGACAGGTCTGAGAATGGCACCCCCTTCATGCGAATGTTGGTACACTTCAAATTGTCCCAGAGGAGAAGAGAGACGTCAGATCGTCAGAAAATGGACAAAACCTAGAGCAGACCCAGCACATAGGAGAGACTTCAAATAGGAAGCATGAAATGCATGGCTCAGCGTCCTAGCGCTCATTTGGGGGGACTTGAACAAGTGGAACTTGAACAACTAAAACCAAGGACTATTTTATGTGGCCCACACCACCTGAGGAGGGGCAGGGACTTCTCTGTAGAATTTGGAAGGAGAGGAGGGGCGGTCCCTTGGTTAGTCCTACGTTCAGATGCATGTAGCTGGGGCAATATCACCCCCACCACACACCTAACAAAACAGGACCCAAAATAGTCCCTTCTTTGTGGGGAAATCTGGGCTATAGGACAAGAAGATCTCAACCCAAAGGAAGGAGATTCCCCAGGTATAAACTGGTTCCTCCTCACCCAAGATTCAACCATGCCTGACCCCCAGGGCATAGAGGGATAAAGGGATAGAGGGTACTGGCAGGGATGTGAGGACCTCTCAGGGAAGATACCTTTTTGGAGAGAGATGAGAACTTAAGCTGAACTCACAATTATTGAGGCTTATAATTCTTTGATGTTGACAAGTATTACATTTTTTCTTTTTTTTTCTTTTTTTCCAAATCAACCTCAAGGACTGAGAAGCCTCCAGACCAGAAGCCAGTTGCCCACAGTTCTGGGGACAACTGTGAGTTGAAAACCAGGACTGCTCAGACTCTCTCTCCCTTCCACGGTGGCCACCCATGTGCCCTCCAGGCCAGGCAATTACATAAATGTGTGAAGGGCAGCCCTTACATGACAGAGGGTGGAGGGAACAGTGAGTAGTACAAGCCCTGCCTAAAAGAGTCACATTCAAATGAACAACAACAACAAAGTGTATGCTGCCCAGACAAAGCCTGTCTGGTTCCCCGAATCCAGCCCCCTGGACCTCAGTTTGTGACTCCAGACCTAGACATTCTGCCCTGCCCACGCCACCCCACCCCACCCCTGCCCTGAATTTCTCCTAAGCGGTGACTTATTTCTCAGCTTTTCTTTCCCAAATCTCTGCTCTGGACCCTAATCTTAGTGGCTGCCTTCTCTAAGCTTAGCAGTCTTGCTAACACCTACCCCCCTAGTTTGGCTCTGTAGCTAGTCCTCTCCCCCTCTCTTGGCCTCACAATGGTCTTTTCTTCCTAGCCATTATCACCCAGTGTGATTTTGAGGACAACTCCAAACCCTTCTGTGACTGGACTCAAATATCCACAAATTATGGGAACTGGATTCGAGCCAGTGGGCCCTCCATCATGGGCAGCACTGGGCCCACCGGGGGTTACCCCAATGGACGTGAGAAAGCCTAAAGTTTAGGGAGGCAGCTGGGAGGTGGCACAGGCAGATCTGGGTGGAGGGACCAGGGAAGGAGCTGGGAGTGGGCATCTGGGCTCTGGGAAAGGGTTGGAGCAGCCCAGGGGGGTGGCAGGGCCTCACTGTCCTGGTCTCTGCCTCCTCAGAGGGCTTCTACCTGCATCTGGACTTCGGCACCTCCCACCGGGGCTGGGTGGCCCGCCTGCTCAGCTCCCCCATATGGGAGCAAGGCCCTCTGTGTGTGCACTTCGCCTACTACATGTTTGGGCTGTCGTGGGGTGCCCAGCTCAAACTGCTGTTGCTCACGGGCACAAATAACAGGCACCCCAACCTGCTTTGGAAACACATTAATGTTCAGAGCCCCTCCTGGATGCCCACCACTGTCACTGTGCCCAAGGGGAATGTCCTGCCCACCCAGGTGAGGCCAAGGGCAGAGTCTGGGGACCCATTGGGAATCTTGGTATCAGGTGTGGTGGGAGGTCAGGGGGGGCCAGAAGGGACTGGGACAATGAGGAGGTGTGGAGGAGGCTGGGCCATCAGGAAACTGGGAGCCTGAGGCAAAGGGGCTCACAGGGTGGGTCATCCCTGCTCCCTTCCACAGCTGATATTTGAAGGAGTGAGGGGCAGCCCTGCCTTCCTGGACATCTCCCTGGATTCTGTCTCTATCCGCCGTGGCTCCTGCAATAGGGGTGAGTCCCTTTCTCTCCTTCTTTCTTCCCACCTCACCATCTGGCTAGGGTGGCAGGAGTAGCTTAGGAACCATGACCTGGTTTCTCGCAAAGTTGAGTCTACTTGCTTCTCTCTACCTTCATCCCCTGTACCTTTGATTCCTGAAGCAACCACACCTAAAGAGAGGTTCTCTTTTAACACAGAGCAGTGGTGAGAGCTGTCCTGGGTGACCAACCATTCCAGTTTGCCCCGGGCTGTCCCTATCTCAGCATAGACAGTCTTACATCTCAGGGAGTACATCAGTCCTGGCCAAACTGGAATGTTTGGTCACCCTGGAGGCGACCCCAGATCCATCCAGAATTAGCTCTCTAAGCTGATGTTAGAAATTTGAGGGGAGCAAACTCAAAGGGAGGAAAATTCCAGAAGCTGGATGCAAGGAGCTACCAGCTCCTGAGCACAGGCACTGTGCTAGATGCTCCCCGCGCATCGTCTAGGTTACAACATGCGGGCACTGTTGTTCCCAGTTTATAGAAGAGGAAACAGGATTGGGCAGTTTAAGTCATCTGTGCCAGGAACAGCCGCTGTTCCTGGGGAGCGGAACTGTAGCTGCTTGAAAGCCTTCCATGGCTCACAGGACCCAGATTGGGACCCACAATTCTGACTCCAGATGGAGGTGTACTTTGTGGAGCTGCCTCCTTTTAGAAAAAGCTAATCCTCCCTCCTTTCATTCACCTGTGGTGGGGTCCAGAACACCTCACCTAAGGAACAGTGATCCTGGAGGGAGGACCAATATCCTATTCATTTTGTGTTTTCTGTATCTGGCACAACATCTGACATATATTAGGAGCAGTGGTTGCTGAGTGTTTATTAAGTGAGTGAAGGTTAGGTTGGGAGTAGAAGGAGGAATACGAATGCTACCCTTTTGATCCCATCCACTCCAATTAGATGTGAGTGAAGAGGGTAGTGGTATGATTTTGACTAAACTCCAGGAATTATTTTTTTTCTCTGCAGGATCTGTGCCAACAATGCTTCCTTCCCAATATCCAGTTCCCCTTACTGGCCCTTCTGAGACCCCTCTCTCCACAGAAAAACCTATGGCCCCCACAGAAAAACCCACACTCCCCACTGAAAAAACCACCCTCCCCACTGAAAAGCCCACCCTCCCCACTGAAAAGCCCACCCTCCCCACTGAAAAACCCACCCTCCCCACTGAAAAAACCACCCTCCCCACTGAAAAAACCACCCTCCCCACTGAAAAACCCACCCTCCCCACTGAAAAAACCACCCTCCCCACTGAAAAAACCACCCTCCCCACTGAAAAAACCACCCTCCCCACTGAAAAACTACTCCCAATGAAAAACCACTCTCCCTACCGAAAAACAGCCTCCCACTGAAAAAACTACCTCACGATTGAAAAAACCACCCTCACCACTGAAAAAACCC